TGCTATACACTACTATACACTACACTACCACACTATACACTACACTGCTATACACTACTATACACTACACTATACAACTACACTGCTATACACTACGAAACACTACACTATACACTACTACACTATACACTACACTGCTATACACTACTATACACTACACTAATACACTACTACACATACACTACACTGCTATACCTACTATACACTACACTATACCTACTACACTATACACTACACTGCTATACACTGCTATACACTACTACACTATACACTACACTGCTATACACTACTATACACTACACTATACACTACCACACTATACACTACACTACTATACCTACTATACACTACATTATACACTACTACACTATACACTACACTGCTATACACTACTATAACACTACACTAATATACACTACTACACTATACACTACACTAGATACACTACTATACACTACTACACTATACACTACACTGCTATACACTGCTATACACTACTATATACTACACTATACACTACTACACTATACACTACACTGCTATACACTACTATACTACACTATACACTACTACACTATACACTACACTGCTATACACTACTATACTACTACACTATACACACTGCTATACACTACTATACACTACACTATACACTACCACACTATACACTACACTACTATACACTACTATACATACATTATACACTACTACACTATACACTACACTGCTATACACTACTATAAACTACACTACACTATACACTATACACACATACTATACACTGCTATACTACTACACTATACACTACACTGCTATACACTACTATACACTACTACACTATACACTACACTGCTATACACTGCTATACACTGCTATACACTACTACACTATACACTACAGCTATACACTACTACACTATACACTACACTGCTATACACTACTACACTATACACTACACTGCTATACACTACTATACACTACTACACTATACACTACACTGCTATACACTGCTATACACTATACACTATACACTACACTGCTATACACTACACTATACACTACACTATAACATTACTACACTATACACTACACTGCTATAACACTACTATACACTACACTATACACTACTACACTATACACTACACTGCTATACACTGCTATACACTACACTATACACTACACTGCTATACACTACTATACACTACACTATACACTACCACACTATACACTACACTACTATACACTACTATACACTACATTATACACTACTACACTATACACTACACTGCTATACACTGCTATACACTACTACACTATACACTACACTGCTATACACTACTATACACTACTACAACTATACACTACAGCTGCTATACCACTGCTATACACTACTACACTATACAATACACTGCTATACACTATACACTACACTGCTATACACTACTATACACTACTACACTATACACTACACTGCTATAAACACTGCTATAACACTACTACACGATACACTACACTGCTAATACACTACTATACACTACTACACTATACACTACACTGCTATACACTACTATACACTACACTATACACTACTACACTATACACTACACTGCTATACACTGCTATACAACTACTACACTATACACTACACTGCTATACACTACTAATACACTACACTATAACACTACCACACTATACACTACACTACTATACACTACTATACACTAATTATACACTACTAACACTATACACTACACTGCTTATACACTACTATACACTACACTATACACTACACACTATACACTACACTACTATACACTACTATACACTACTATACTATACACTACACTGCTATACACTGCTATACACTACTATATACTACACTATAACACTACTACACTATACACTACACTGCTATACACTACTATACCTACACTATACCACTACTACACTATACACTACACTGCTATACACTACTATACACTACTACACTATACACTACACTGCTATACACTACTATACACTACACTATACACTACCACACTATACACTACACTACTATACACTACTATACACTACATTATACACTACTACACTATACACTACACTGCTATACACTACTATACACTACACTATACACTACTACAACTATACACTACACTGCTATACACTGCTATACACTACTACACTATACACTACACTGCTATACACTACTACACTATACACTACACTGCATAACACTACTACACTATACACTACACTGCTATACACTACTATACACTACTACACTATACACTACACTGCTTTACACTGCTATAAACTACTACACTATACACTACACTGCTATACACTACACTATACACTACACTATACACTACTACACTATACACTACAACTGCTATACACTACTATACACTACACTATACACTACTACACTATACACTACACTGCTATACACTGCTATACACTACACTATACACTACACTGCTATACACTACTATACACTACACTATACACTACCACACTATACACTACACTACTATACACTACTATACACTACATTATACACTACTACACTATACACTACACTGCTATACACTGCTATACACTACTACACTATACACTACACTGCTATACACTACTATACACTACTACACTATACACTACACTGCTATACACTGCTATACACTACTACACTATACAATACACTGCTATACACTATACACTACACTGTTATACACTACTATACACTACTACACTATACACTACACTGCTATACACTGCTATACACTACTACACTATACACTACACTGCTATACACTTCTATACACTACTACACTATACACTACACTGCTATACACTGCTATACACTACTACACTATACACTACACTGCTATACACTACTATACACTACACTATACACTACCACACTATACACTACACTGCTATACACTACTATATACTACACTATACACTACTACACTATACACTACACTACTATACACTACTATACACTACACTATACACTACTACACTATACACTACACTACTATACACTACTATACACTACTACACTATACACTACACTACTATACACTGCTATACACTACTACACTATACACTACACTGCTATACACTGCTATACACTACTACACTATACACTACACTGCTATACACTACTACACTATACACTACACTGCTATACACTACTATACACTACTACACTATACACTACACTGCTATACACTGCTATACACTACTACACTATACACTACACTGCTATACACTACTATACACTACTACACTATACACTACAATGCTATACACTACTATACACTACTACACTATACACTACACTGCTATACACTGCTATACACTACTACACTATACACTACACTGCTATACACTGCTATACACTACACTATACACTACACTGCTATACACTGCTATACACTACTATACACTACACTATACACTACTACACTATACACTACACTGCTATACACTACTATACATGGACTCTAGCCCTTCCTGGAGAATTCCCGGGTATTCCCGGGCCAGCAGAGCGACGTAGTGGGACGTGCTGCCCGGTAGAGTCCCAGGGGGGAGTCTACCGGGGTGGGGGCATCCTCACCGGGTGCTCGAACCACCTCGACTGGCTCGTCTCAATCCGCAGGAGCAGCGTCTCGACTCTGCGGCTCTCCCTGATTACCGAGCTCCTTATCCGATCACGGAGAGTGAGCCCGGAAAACCCTGCCGATAAACCTCATCTCGACCCCTTGTACCCGCGATCTCACCCTTTCGGTCATTGCCCAAAGTCCATGGCCATAGGTGAGGGTGGGAACGTAGATCGACCGGCAAACCGAGAGCTTTGTTCGAGAACTCAGCTCCCGCTTCACACAGTGTGCTACTCGCGCTAAGAGCACCGGCGCCAACTGCCTGTTAAGGCTATACGCTGGATCTTCGTCGTTGTGTGTCTTTGTAGTTAGCGCTGCACTGCGCTACGAACCCGGCGACCAGAGTTCGATTCTCACTCATGGCCAACACCGGTGACGATTATCTGAACCGGTCCTGGGCCTCCCCTAAGTCGACTCAGCTTCAAATGAGTAGCTGGTGCGGTGTGTAAACATCGCCACTGGGGAGACAAACGCGGCCAGGCGTGGTGCTGGCCACCCACCGCCTCGTGTGCCGTTTCAGCGTTGCATAGGTGCTATTCGCGAACAGCACTTGCCCCTACAGTCTGATTAGGCTACACGGAGGGGGGGGATCTTTGTCTTTGTGTGTGTCTGTCTCTGTGCTCTTCCGGCCTTGCATATGTAAAGACGACTTGACACACTTCTCTTGAGATGGCACTTTATTGAAGACACGTTTACTTGACACGAGGCCGAGACCCCCACTGCGACAGCCCCGAGTCTCCCGCGCATCTCCCTTTTATATACTGACACGAGGCCACGCCCCCGTTCCCGAACCTTCTTGCTGACTCTGGACGCTCGCTCCACTGGCAGACTCCACCGTCCTCTTCCGTCACCTGACCTCGCTCTCTTCTCGATAATTCCCGTAGCCACCGGTCTCTACGCACTCACAACTGACACCCCTGTCATTACCTCCCGTGACCACTCGTGCATTCACACTGTAGGCTGACTCCCCTGTCATTACCTCCCGTGGCCACCAGTCCATTTGCACTGCAGGCTGACTCCCCTGTCACTACCTCCCGTGGCCACTAGTCCATTCACACTGCAGGCTGACTCCCCTGTCATTACCTCCCGTGGCCACTAGTCCATTCACACTGTATACTGACTCCCCTGTCACTACCTCCCGTGGCCACTAGTCCATTCACACTGCAGGCTGACTCCCCTGTCATTACCTCCCGTGGCCACTAGTTCACTCACACCGCATGCAGACGCCACTGTCATTACACATAGGTAGCTGCACTTGCCCCAACAGTCTGTTGAGGCTATACGGGGGTATCTTTGTCTTCGTGTCGCCCTTGCCCGTCGCGACAGATCTTCCACATGACGTACGACCTGGCGAGCGCCGTGATGCGCATCATCAACCTCATCGCCATGATGCTGCTGCTGTGCCACTGGGACGGCTGCCTGCAGTTCCTCGTGCCCATGCTGCAGGACTTCCCAGACGACTGCTGGGTCACCACCTCCCGCATGGTGGTACGGCCCGAGGAAAACAACAACAACAACAACACAATGGGCCAGCGCAATCACACACACACACCACTCGCATACAATGACCAGCACACACATACACCACTGGCACATAATGGGCAACACACACCACTTGCACACAATGGGCAACACACACACACCACTGGCACATAGTGGTCAACACACACACATCACTGTCACACAATGACCAGCACACACACCACTGGGCACACAATGGGCAGCACACACACACACCACTTGCACACAATGGGCAACACACACACACCACTGGCACATAGTGGTCAACACACACACATCACTGTCACACAATGACCAGCACACACACACACACCACTGGGCACACAATGGGCAGCACACACATACACCACTGGCACATAATGGGCAGCACACACACACACCACTGACACATAATGGGCAGCATACACACACACCACTTGCACACAATTACCAGCACACACACACACCACTGTCACACAATGACCAGCACACACACATACCACTGGCACATAATGGGCAGCACACACACACACCACTGGGCACACAATGACCAGCACACACACACACACCACTGTCATACAATGACCAGCACACACACACACACCACTGGCACACAATGGGCAACATACACACACACACCACTGGCACACAATGGGCAACACACACACACACACCCCACTGTCACACAATGGGCAAAACACACACACACACCGCTGGGCACACAATGACCAGCACACACACACACACACACCACTGGCACACAATGGGCAACACACACACACACACACACACCACTGTCATACAATGACCAGCACACACACACACACACCGCTGGGCACACAATGACCAGCACACACACACACCACTGGCACACAATGGGCAACACACATACACCGCTGGACACATCATGGCCAGCAGCAGAGTGCATTCTGTAGGGCTGGGGCAGGCCTGAGTGGGGGCCTCGGTTCCTTATCTCAGTTTATATTTCATATTTGTAGAGCGCCGTTCCTCAAGCCACTTGAAGTAAGTGAAGAACATTTTTTATTGCGCACTCTCATGAGTCCGCTCCGTCACGAATGCTCATCGATCACACATTGAAGTGGGCTCTCTGATAACACCGGTGTGGAGTCTGTTGCAGAACTGGCTCCGACTCAGGGGGTGGATCCCGCACGTGAGCTTGGTAGCGTTGCCCCAGCGTCTTTGGGCCAGAGACCCCCGAAAGTGCGCCGGCCGTATCACTGCGCGCGGGGTTTACGCGCGGGTGCAGCGGTGTAGTCGGGGTCGACTTGGGTCTATTGAAGCTCTGATAGTGTACTGTTTTTGAGTTGTACGCCTTTTGGCGTCATCTGGTCCAACAGCACTGGAGACTAGGCTCTAAGGAAAGCTGTCTCGGGTGTGGACCAATCAACTTCAAGGACAGTGCATATCATTACCATTATCAGAGTTGTTTCTTTTTGTTTGCATTTTGACTGCTTGTGTTGCGGTTATTGCAAACATGATGCCTTGTAGAAAGGTGTCAGTTTTGTACCAGTTTAAAGGGTAAAAACCTACTACTCTGATTATATATGTATTGTCCTTGAAACTGATTGGTCCACACCAAGGGACGGCTTTCTTTTGAGCTTCGACCCAATTGGTGCTCGACCAGAGGACGCCAAAAGACGTACAGCTCAAAGACAATTCACTATCAAAGTAATGAGGGCTCGGGGTATAAGCATCTACATCATTAGACCTCCTTTGCCAGTACCAAAATATAATAATAGGGGGGACAACACGTTCATTAACGTGAACCGCGTGTGGCCTGAAAGATAAATATATCTGACGTTTCGGGCGATGGTCCTTCTGGTGTATTGTCTGATACGTCGCCTGTTATATAATCTTTCTATGAAGGCCACACAATCAAATGATGTGAATGATGTACGTTTGTACGTCGAACTTCGTTCGCACCGTACGTAGCCAACCGCGCTAATCGGAGGTGCGGGGGGAAGGACAAACAAACTAAACACACAACAACAACAACAAGCAGTTCTAAAGAAAGTTAGTTTTTGTTTTCAATCTGCCGCAATGGTGCACAGAATAACGAAACAACTCAATGGATTCGGAGCCTCGTCTACTCGACGAACGGCGAACAACAACACGCGTAAAGTCGCAGTGAAGGACACGTGACAGACACGTGGCAGACACGTGACAGTGACGTGACAGTGATAGACACGTGGCAGTGACACGTGACAGGGACACGTGACAGATTCCGTCCGATGTCAATGACAATCAGGGCGCTATTGTTACAGCAAGGTGAGAATCGCGGTGCACGTGGATGAATTGGAAGGTGATTTCGGTTCAATAATCACAGTCACTTGGGCCCCAAAGTGAGAGGGCCAGGAGGTATGCAGTCAACAATGCTTGACTCAGGGACGAGGACGCCCCTGCCATGCATAGTCCCATGGGATGGTGGCTATCAACAACAAGGCAACTCCTATGACTAATTGGGAATGGGACGCAAGCGTAGGATTGATCACCCTGTCGCTGGCCGCCTTTGGGGAGGGTGTATAGTGTGAAAGGCCGAAACACCCTAGGACCCAAAGGTTTACTACTGACGATGCGCTCCCCAAATTTCACCAGGCTCACTGTTCATGAACTCTTGGAAGTGCTTGCACAAAGGATAGTAACATCTCATCCTGTGTTCTTTGGAATCGTTATGTGTGGCCACGCAGTGAGGTTACCTCCACTCAAAGTCACGCAAATCGCTCCACGTCCCAGTTACTCCCGCGACTTTTGTCAAAATGTAACTTGCGCAACTCTTGGCTGGGTTGTTGTTGTTGTTGGCGTTTGTTCTGAATTACTTATTTCTCTTCCGAGTTTCAATTAAAACAAAACTTCAGGAGGCGGTGAGGGGTGGTGCCGGACGGGACGAGGGGAGGGGGCGGGTGGAGGGCGGGAGGGTGAACCACCAGCCGGACCTAAAAACTCGACTACAAACTAAAACTCGACTATAAACGAATTTTATTATTATTCCTTTGTCAAGGCGCCCTTCCCTCCGCTAACCCAGCTTAAATATGCGCTGCCAAGCTTGGTGGTGTTCATTCAGACGCTGTCTTTCCGACAGACCTGTTCTTTACCTGAGGACGGCTGCTTACGTTGTGGCCGAAACGTCGTGAGAATTGTATTTTATTATGTTTTATTTTTATTGTTATATTATTTCCCTTCTACGTGACTTTACCGAAAGAACCAAGAAGATAATTTTATTATGTTAACAGTTGTATAGCCCACTGAGTTATATAGAACTTTTTTAGAAGCCATCTTTCCAGAAATGCGAGCTCAACGAAGTGGCTTATCACGTGGAAATTTATAGCAGCCAAATTACTCTAAAACGCACGGTGATTCTAAACGTGGAGGGAAAACCCGGAGGACCCGGAGAAAAAATCCACACAACCACGGGGAGAAAGAGGGAAGGAGAGAGAGAGAGACGCCGAAAACTCCAAATATACAGGCGGGAGTGCCATGGTGGAATCCACGATGCTCCCGTGTGCCAGGTGAGGCAGTGGACGTCTCGCCTCCCTGGCACTCCCAGCATTGCCTCCACCGGGTCAAAAATCGACATTTAGCAAATGCTAAATTCCTCTTGATATGCAAATTCCTTTGTCAAGGCGCCCAGCTTATATATATATGCTCCAAGCTCGTGTGCTGTTTCATTCAGACTCTGTCGCCTCGACAGACCTGGTTTTCACCTGAGGACGGCTGCTTGCGTTGTGGCCGAAACGTCGTGAGAATTATTGTATTATGTTTTATTTTTATTATTGTATTACTTCCCTTCTACGTGACTTTACCGAAAGAACCAAGAAGATGAATCGCCCATCGTCCACCACCTGCCCAGAGGTCGCGATTGTAACCAAAGCCACACCACAAAAAAACCTCACCCCCCCCCCCCCAGCCTTCCACCCCAACGGTGAAGCCAAGATCCGACATAACTTGTCCTTGGCAAATACGGACGCCCGATTATGAACAGCTCCTACCGCCCCCCCGCCACCACCCCGACTGAAAAGAACAAACGACGCCTCTCGCACGGGGCGAGGAGAGGCGTTGCAGAAGTTCATTGAAATGCGAGAGGGCGAGCCTTCTTACTCTCCCCGTGGAGGGCTCGGGCTGGCGAGAGAGATTCCGAGCGCTCCACAGACGACAACGTCGCGTACCCGCCTCGCAGGAATTCCACCCCCCCCCCCCGCAGCCCCCACCCCTATCCCCAGCCCCCCCCCCCACTCACCGCAGCCCCCCCTTACTACCAACCCCAGCCTCCCCTCACCCCAGCTCCCTCCTTTCCCCAGCCCCCCTTCCCCGACTCACCCCCAGCCCTCTTCCCCCCAGTCCTTCATCCACCCAGCCCCCTCTACTCCCCAGCCCCCCCTCCCCCCAACCGCCCTCCCCCTCCCTCCAGTTCTTCATCCACCCACCCAGCCCCCCCCTCCCTCCAACCCCACTCCCCCCAACCCCCTCCCCCTCCCCCCAGTTCTTCATCCACCCAGCCCCCCCCCTTCCCCCCAACCCCACTCCCCCCAACCCCCCTCCCCCCTCCCCCCAGCTCTACCTCCACCCAGCCCCCCCCTCCCCCCAACCCCACTCCCCCCAACCCCCCTCCCCCCAGTTCTTCCTCCACCCAGCCCCCCCCTTCCGCCCGCTCCCCCTCTCACCCCCGCCAAGTATAACGGGCTGTGATTGTGTCCACGCGTCGTTTGACCGTGGGGGGGGGGGGGGGAGGGGGGCGATCTAAACTAAGCTAAATAAAAACACTTCACTATTTTTATTTATCTTACACAAGGTGTAACCCCCCCCGCCCCCCCTCCCCGAAGCGACCTGAGCTGTCACAAAATGATAGCGCAACGAAGTTTAGTGGCTTATCATCATCACGTGGAATTCATCATAAAACTCGTCCGTGTTGAGTCTCGATGTGAAGGTGCGGGGGGAGGGGGGAGGGAGGGGGGGAGGAGGGGATGTGGGGGAAACCGGAGGATGACGCGGAGGATAATCCACGCGAGCCAAGGGGACATGGAACAAGTTCGAGCTACGGATAATTCTCGAGCTGGGGGAGCGTTGGAGGAGGAGGAGGAGGTGGGGGGAAGAGGTTGTCTAGACAATTTTATTAAACATTTTATTTTTATTTTCTATCTACGTGACTTTACCGAAAGAACCAAAGAAATTTTTTGAAAAAATGTGTCCAGACAAGGTTTCGACATTCGATTCATATTTTTAGGTTTTTTTCGGTAAAGTCACGTAGGTAAAAAATTAAAATTAATAAAAGTCAAATAAAATAAAAATCACGACGTTTCGGAGGCAACACAAGCTTCCGTCTTCTGGTGGAACCGATGCCAGCAAGCCCCTTGACAGCCACACCACGGTACGAGGAGATGACACACAGCGAAGAGAAGACACACACAGCGAAGAGGAGACACACAGTGAAGAGGAGATACACACAGCGAAGAGGAGATACACACAGCGAAGAGGAGACACACACAGCGAAGAGGAGATGGCACACAGCGAAGAGGAGACACACACAGCGAAGAGGAGACACACAGCAAAGAGGAGACACACACAGCGAAGAGGAGACACACAGCGAAGAGGAGACACACAGCAAAGAGGAGACACACACAGCGAAGAGGAGACACACAGCGAAGAGGAGACACACACAGCGAAGAGGAGACACACAGCAAAGAGGAGACACACACAGCGAAGAGGAGACACAGCGAAGAGGAGACACACACAGCGAAGAGGAGACACAGCGAAGAGGAGATACACACAGCGAAGAGCAGACACACACAGCGAAGAGGAGACACACACAGCGAAGAGGAGACACACACAGCGAAGAGCAGACACACACAGCGAAGAGGAGACACACACAGCGAAGAGCAGACACACACAGCGAAGAGGAGACACACACAGTGAAGAGGAGACACACACAGCGAAGAGGAGACACACACAGCGAAGAGGAGATGGCACACAGCGAAGAGGAGACACACACAGCGAAGAGGAGATGGCACACAGCGAAGAGGAGACACACACAGCGAAGAGGAGATGGCACACAGCGAAGAGGAGACACACAGCGAAGAGGAGATGGCACACAGCGAAGAGGAGACACACACAGCGAAGAGGAGATGGCACACAGCGAAGAGGAGACACACACAGCGAAGAGGAGATGGCACACAGCGAAGAGGAGACACACAGCGAAGAGGAGATGGCACACAGCGAAGAAGAGACACACACAGCGAAGAGGAGATGGCACACAGCGAAGAGGAGACACACACAGCGAAGAGGAGATGGCACACAGCGAAGAGGAGACACACACAGCGAAGAGGAGATGGCACACAGCTAAGAGGAGGCACACACAGCGAAGAGGAGATACACACAGCGAAGAGGAGATACACACAGCGAAGAGTACGAACGTGGGTAGACGGGTAAACTACTTGCTGCACTGCACCGCCCCGGCCGCCCTGGGTGGGATTCTGGCGCGCAGCGTGACGCCGGAGTGATCCCGGAGTGATCCGCTAACCCGAGGCGCGCGGCGCCGGATTCCGGGCGTGCAGAGACACGCCCGGAGTTGACGCTCCTCACACTCACACACACACTCACCCACACACACTCACACACACTCACTCACACACACTCACACGCACTCACCCCTACTCACACTCACTCCAACTCACACTCACACACACTCACACACACTCACACACACTCACACTCACTCCTACTCACACTCACACACACTCACACTCACTCCTACTCACACACACTCACCCACACACTCATCCACACTCACCCTTACTCACAATTACACGCACTCACACTCACCCACACACTCACCCACACACTCATCCACAGTCACCCCTACTCACACTCACCCACACTCACACACACTCACCCCTACTCACACTCACCCACACACACTCACACACACTCCTACTCACACTCACCCCTACTCACACTCACCCACACACACTCACCACAACTCACACACACTCACCCACACTCATCCACACTCACACCCACACTCACCCCTACTCACACTCACCCCTACTCACACACACCCACACACACCCACACTCACCTCTAATCACACTCACCCACACTCACTCACCGACACTCACCAACACACACAACAACAACCGCCATTCGCCACTAAGTGGCGGTGACATCACCACGACACTTGTTCCAGGCTAGGTGCACGTTAAGGCCACGTGAAGTGTCTAACGCCCGCCGGCAGGAGGTCACGGGGCAGACCCAGGTGCCACGGGTCGACTGACTGAGATGACTGACCGATGGACCACCTGTGCCCCCTACTGTGCCGACTTGCTGTGCTTTAGCCACCCAGCGCTCCGCTCGTTGTTGTGAGCGTCGCTCCTCTGCCCCCTTACCGTCACCCACCCACACTCACCCACTCACACTCACCCACACACCCACACTCACCCACCCACACTCACCCACCCACACCCACCCATACACACCCACCCACCCACACACACACCCACCCACCCACACCCACCCACACCCACCCACACTCACCCACACACACCCACACTCACCCACCCACACTCACCCACCCACACCCACCCACCCATACTCACCCATCCACCCACACCCATCCACACACAAACCCACACTCACCCACACACACCCACACTCACCCACCCACCCACACTCACCCACACCCACCCACCCACACTCACCCATCCACCCACACCCATCCACACACACCCACCTACGCTCACCCACACACACCCACTCACACACACCCACACTCACCCACCCACACTCACCCACACTCACCCTCCCACACTCACCCACCCACACTCACCCTCCCACACTCACCCACACACACTCACCCACCCACACCCACCCATCCACCCACACTCACCCACCCACACTCACCCACCCACCCACACACACCCACACTCATCCACCCACACACACACACCCACACACACTCACTCACCCACACTCACCCACCCACACTCACCCACCCACACTCACCCACCCATCCACCCACCCACCCACACTCACCCACACACACCCACCCACACCCACCCACACTCACCCACCCACACTCACCCACACTCACCCACCCACACACACCCACACACACTCACCCACACACACTCACCCACACACACCCACCCACACTCACCCACCCACACACACCCACACCCACCCACACTCACCCACCCACACTCACCCACACTCACCCACCCACACACACACACCCACACTCACCCACCCACACACACACACCCACACTCACCCACCCACACTCAACCACACACACCCACACACACTCACCCACCCACACTCACCCACCCACACTCACCCACCCACACTCACCCACACTCACCCACCCACACTCACCCACACACACTCACCCACACACACTCACCCACACACACCCACCCACACTCACCCACCCACACACACCCACACCCACCCACACTCACCCACCCACACTCACCCACACTCACCCACCCACACACACACACCCACACTCACCCACCCACACTCACCCACCCACACTCACCCACCCACACTCACCCACACACACCCACCCACACTCACCCACCCACACTCACCCACCCACACTCAACCACACACACCCACACACACTCACCCACCCACACTCACCCACCCACACTCACCCACAGCGCCGCTGTTCACCACACGCACGGCGACATTGCCGGAGGGGGGGGGGGGTGGGATGGAAGCGATCTTTGGATTTGCGTTACTTAGCGATGTCGCCGCTTGCTGGCCACCGCACCGCTCCCCCTCGTGTGCAACAGTGCCGGCTTTTACGAGTCGATGCTATTCCTCGTTCACTAACAGCACTTGTCCCCACACCCCCCCCGTGAAGGCTACACGGGCGACCTTTGTCATTGTGTCCCGCCGCAGAACGTGTCGTGGGAGATGCAGTACTCGTACGCCCTCTTCATGGCCATGAGCCACATGCTGTGCATCGGCTACGGGCAGCAGGCGCCCTCCAGCATGTCCGACGTGTGGCTCACAATGCTGAGCATGATCGTGGGCGCCACGTGCTACGCCATGTTCATCGGGCACGCCACGGCGCTCATCCAGTCGCTCGACTCGTCGCGACGCCAGTACCAGGAGAAGGTGCGTGGGGGGCATTGAGGGTCCCCCCCTCCCCCTTGCCCCCTCCTCCATCTCCCCTCCGGGGGGGTGGGGGGGATTGTGACGTTGCTGGGGTATTTAAAATTCAGCCGCGTGAAGCTTTTCGAGGGGGTCCTCCCTTGGAGGAATGCCTCTGAGATTTGTTGTCTAATATCGCAATGGAAATACAGGGACTCCTCTACTCACGAACTGTCAGAGATACGAACAAGGCTGGTGCGTATGTCCAGTTGCCTGTTCGGATCGAGAGTCGTGAGTTCAACCGCAGCGCAATAGACGGCGGTGGTGGCGTCTACATCTGCGGAACGTGAAGAACCAGCGGCATCTACGTCTGCAGGAGATTACACAACTTTTAAAGCCATTCCCCGTGTTGAGTGTACACGCCGTACAACGCGTTTCGAATCGACAGGAGTAAAGATGGAACTTACGAACAAATCGAGTTACGAGCAGTACCTCTGGAACCTAACTCGTTCGTAAGAAGAGGACACCCTGTAACCGTATTCTTAGGTTTTTTCGGTAAAGTCACCTAGGTCACCTAGGTGACTTTACCGAGGTGACTTTACCGACAAAATCTAAGAATATGAATACTTGCAGTCACGAAAGCTTCAAATCTAGAACCCTGTAACCGTTTAAGTCCGGGTTTTTTGTTAAACCCACAGTCTTCTTTATTTTTCAACCGATTATGTAAAAACTTTCAACTTCGTGCCGTTGTTTCATTAATGTTTATTTCGTATTCGGAGGTCGCCGCCCGCCCGCATGCCGCACCCCTCGCAATGAGAGGCCCCAAGCGGTGGCTCGCTCAGCCTCGGCCTACATCCGGCTCTGGGCGATTCTAATCGTCGACACCGTCATCATCACTATCATCCTCATCAGCAGCGATGACCCGTCACCTCTCACCCTTTGACGCGGGTGAACCGCTTGACCCCACATTGACCAGTCGACCCCATGCGCATCACTAACACGTTGACCCATTGACCCCCATGCGCATCGCTAACACATTGACCCATTGACCCCTGTGCATCACTGACACGTTGACCCCCCCCCCCCATTGACCCGTTGAGAGATTGACCGCCCTGTGCATCGCTGACCCATTGACCCCCATGTGCATCATTGACACGTTGACCACCCCTCCCCCCATTGACCCGTTGACCCCGATGTGCATCACTGACACGTTGACCCCTCCATTGACCAGTTGACCCCACTGTGCATCGCTGACCCATTGACCCCCACGTGCATCACCGACACGTTGACCGCCCCACCCCCCATTGACCCCCTGTGCATCGCTGACACTTTGACCCGTCGACCTGATGACCCCCCCTCCCTCTGCCTAACTGACACATTGACCTCCCACTGACCAGATTAGCACCACGTGGGCTCACAGCGATGACGTCACATTTGCTTGAGACTGACGACGCACGGGGGACTTCCTCGCATTTCCAATTGCCCCGTGCTGGAGCTCCTGATTGGTTGCAGTCGCCCGCGGAACCTTCACCGTACTCGGAATTTACACTATGAGACCTCCTTTACCAGTGGCAAAATATTATAGTAGGTTTTTACCCTTTAAACTGGTACAAAACGGACACCTTTATACAAGGCATCATGTTTGGAATAACCACAACACAAGTAGTCAAAATGCAAACAAAAAGAAGCAACTCTGATGATGATAATGATTTTGTACCAGTTTAAAGGGTAAAAACCTACTACTATATTTTGCCACTGGTAAAGGAGGTCTCATAGTGTAAATGCTTACCCCGAGCTCTCAATACTCTGATAGTGCACTGTTTTTGAGTTGTACGCCTTTTGGTGTCATCTGGTCCAACACCAATAGAGACTAGGCTCTAAGAAAAGCTGTCTCGGGTGTGGACCAATCAACTTCAAGGACAGTGCATATTATTATCATTATCAGAGTTGTTTCTTTTTGTTTGCATTTTGACTGCTTGTGTTGTGTTTATTGCAAACATGATGCCTTGTATAAATGTGTCAGTTTTGTACCAGTTTAAAGGGTAAACACCTACTATTATTGTACTCGGAATTGTAAACGCTGCGGGGTTTACCTTCCCAACACACCGACAACAACAACAACAACAAACCCGGCGTGCTGAAGCGGCCGGCGAATTTGGCCACGTTTTGTTTGCGGCGACGAGGCCTCGCCAATCGGCTGTGTCGGGGGCGGCGATGGCTTTAGTGGCAACCCCCTCCCTCCCCAAAATAACCCCTTTAGCACGGACCCCCATTGACCGGTCGACCCCCTTGAGCCGCTGACCCGCCGTTGACCCGTTGACCTATTGATCCCCCGCGTGCAGTACAAGCAAGTGGAGCAGTGCATACCGTACCGACCCGCCGCTGACCCCTTGACCTGTTGACCTATTGACCCTCCGTGTGCAGTGCAAGCAAGTGGAGCAGTGCATATCATTCCAATCCGTCGTTGACCCGTTGACCTATTGACCCCCCGCGTGCAGTACAAGCAAGTGGAGCAGTGCATACCATACCGACCCACCGCTGACCCCTTGACCCGTTGACCTATTGACCCCCCGTGTGCAGTACAAGCAAGTGGAGCAGTGCATGCCGACCGACCCGTCGCTGACCCCTTGACCCGTTGACCTATTGACCCCCCGCGTGCAGTACAAGCAAGTGGAGCAGTACATGTCGTTCCACAAGCTGCCGGCGGAGCTGCGCCAGCGCATCCACGAGTACTACGAGCACCGCTACCAGGGCAAGATGTTCGATGAGGACAACATCCTGGGGGAGCTCAACGAGCCGCTCCGACACGTGAGCGCGAGACGCGTCGCCGTCATCGCCACCGCTATCACCATCACCGTCACCATCTCTATAAACATCATCATCACCATCTATATCACCATCGTCATCACCATCTCTATCACCATCGTCATCACCATCTCTGTCACCATCGTCACCGCCATCTCTATAAACATCGTCATCACCATCTCTATAACCATCGTCATCACCATCTCTATCATCATCGCCATCACCATCTGTATAACCATCGTCATCACCATCTCTATAAACATCGCCACCGCCATCTCTATAAACATCGTCATCACCATCTGTATAACCATCGTCATCACCATCTCTATAAACATCGCCATCACCATCTCTATCACCATCGTCATCACCATCTCTATCACCATCGTCATCACCACCATCACCGCCGCCGTGGTCACCGGTCACCACGAACCACGTGCCCCCCCCCCCCCCCCCCCGACCGCAGGAGATCGTCAACTACAACTGCCGCAAGCTCGTCGCCTCCATGCCGCTGTTCGCCAACGCGGACCCCAACTTCGTGACGGCGATGCTCACCAAGCTGCAGTTCGAGGTGTTCCAGCCGGCGGACTTCATCGTGCGCGAGGGCACCATCGGCAAGAAGATGTACTTCATCCAGCACGGCGTCGTCAGCATCATCACCAAGGCCAACAAGGAGACGAAGCTCTCCGACGGCTCCTACTTTGGAGGTCGGTCCACGCGAGGGCGAGAGGGGGGGGTTCAGGAGGAGGGAGGGGGGGAGGGGTTCAGGAGGAGGGGGGAGGGAGGCAGGGAGGAGGGAGGGAGGGGTTCAGGAGGAGGAGGGAGGGAGGGAGGAGACGGAGGGAGAGGTTCAGGAGGAGGGGGGGGGGTTCAGGAGGAGGAGGTCAGGAGGGAGGGATGGAGGGAGGGAGGGGAAGGAAAGGGAGGTTCAGAATGAGAAGGTCAGGAGGGGGGGGGGTAGAAAGGGAGGGAGGGAGGGAAGGAGGGGAGGGAGGGGTTCAGGAGGAGGGAGGGGGAGGGGAGGCAGGGGAGGGAGGGGTTCAGGAGGAGGAGGAGGTCAGGAGGTCAGGAGGTCAGGAGGGAGGAAGGGATGGAGGGAGGGAGGGGACGGAAAAGGAGGTTCAGGATGAGAAGGTCAGGAGGAGGGGAGGGTGGAGAGGGAGGGAATTTCAGGAGGAGGACGTGAGGAGGAGGAGCCTCAGGAGGAGGAATAAATAAATAAGCGGACAATCAGGCGCCTGCTTCTGCACACCCCCTTCGCACGATCTGCCGCAACACAAACTTGTTTCTTTACACATCCCATCGGCCGTCTGGTCGTGACATGAGTGAGGCAGCGTTCGGTTCAACGCGAGACAAATCACTGGAGCGGTATCGCTCCAGAGATTTGTCTCGCGTTGAGGTGGCCCTCGCTTTTGAACCAGGAGCTATTCCTGCTAGGAGTCTCTGCTGACGATGGCGAAGATGACAAAGATGACACCGATAATGATGATGATGCCGATGATGCCGATGATGCTGCGCACGTAAGAGATCTGCTGCTGATGATGATGCCACTGCTTATGATGACGATAACGGGTGAAACTGATGATGATCTGCTGATGATGATAATGATTATGACACTGATGATGTATGCTGCTGATGATGCTGCTGATGATTCTGCCGATGATGCTAATGATGCTGCTGATGATCCTGATGCTACTGCTGCTGATGATGATGCTGCTGATGATGATGCTGCTGCTGTTGATAATGATGTTGCTGCTGATAATGCTGTTGATGATGATAATGCTGATGATGCAGCTGATGATGATAATGCTGATGATGCTGCTGTTGTTCATGATGATGATGCTGCTGCTAATGATGATGCTGCTGATGATGATGCTGCTGCTGATGATGCTGCTGCTGTTGATAATGATGTTGCTGCTGATAATGCTGTTGATGATGATAATGCTGATGATGCAGCTGATGATGATAATGCTGATGATGCTGCTGTTGTTCATGATGATGATGCTGCTGCTGCTAATGATGATGCTGCTGCTGCTGATGCTGCTGCTGATGATGATGCAGCTGCTGATAATGCTGATGCTGCTGCTGAGAATGCTGATGCTGCTGATAATGCTGTTGTTGATGATGATGATAATGCTGATGGTGCTGCTGATGATGCTGCTCATGATGATGCTGCTGCTGATGATGATGACGATGATGCTGCTGCTGATGATGATGATGATAATGATGCTGCTGATGATGATAATGATGCTGCTGCTGATGATGATGATAATGCTGCTGCTGCTGATGATGATAATGATGCTGCTGCTGAGAATGCTGATGCTGCTGATAATGCTGTTGTTGATGATGATGATAATGCTGATGGTGCTGCTGATGACGCTGCTCATGATGATGCTGCTGCTGTTGATGATGACGATGATGACGACGGCGACTCTGCGCGTGCAGAGATCTGCCTGCTGACGCGCGGGCGCCGCACGGCGAGTGTGCGCGCCGACACGTACTGCCGCCTCTTCTCGCTCTCCGTGGACCACTTCAACGAGGTGCTGGAGGAGTACCCCATGATGCGGCGAGCCTTCGAGACCGTGGCCATCGACCGCCTCGACCGCATCGGTGAGATGCCCTCGCCGGGGGCGGTGGGGGGGGGAGAGAGGCACGTGGGGAGACACGTGGCGGTGGGGGAGAGACACGCGGGGAGACGTGGGGTGAGACCTGGTGAAAGACGCGAGGAGACGTGGGGAGACTGGGGTGAGATGTGGGGAGACGTGGGGAGACTGCGGTGAGATGTGGGGAGACGTGGGGAGAGACGCGGAGAGATGCAGGGTGAGACTTGGGGAGACGAAGGAGAGATGTGGGGTGAGACGTGGGGTGAGACCTGGTGAAAAACATGCAGAGATGTGGGGAGACTGGGGTGAGATGTGGGTAGATGTGGGTAGATGTGGAGTGACCTGGGGAGACGTGGGGAGAGACGCTGGGAGATGCGGGGTGAGGCTTGGGGAGACGTGGGGTTAGACCTGGTGAAAGACATGGGGAGATGTGGGGAGACTGGGGTGAGATGTGGGTAGATGTGGAGTGACCTGGGGAGATGTGGGGAGAGACGCTGGGAGATGCGGGGTGAGGCTTGGGGAGACGTGGGGTTAGACCTGGTGAAAGACGTGGGGAGACAAGGAGTGACCTGGGGAGACGTGGGGAGAGACTTAGGGGGTAGACGTGGGGACATGAGGACAATCGCACTCATTCATACACCCCACACACAAAAGATTCCCGTATAGACTTAACAGACTGTTGGGCCAATACGGTACGCGAGGGGGTGGGTGGCCAGCACCACGCCCGGCCGCCTTTGTCTCCCTAGTGACGATGTTTACACACCGCAGGTGTGTAAACATCGGGCCAGAACTGGTTCAGACAATCGTCACTGGTGTTGGTCGTGAATGGGAATCGAACCCGGGTCGCCAGGTTCGCAGCGTAGCGCGCTAACCGCTACACTACCGCTTCCCACAACACACACACAGACACAAACACAGAAACATACACACAGACACACACAGACACTCACACACACAGATGCACAGACACACAGACACACACACATAAACACACACAATAACACACACAGACGCACTCAAACGCACAGACGCACACACACAGACACACTCACACACACAGACTCACACACACACACAGACACACTCACACACACAGACACACACACAAACACACGCACACACACAACACACACC